CCCCAAAACCCCAAAACCCCAAAACCCCATATGTCGAAAATCAAATCAATTTATCTAATTAAGAAATCAAATTTACTAATTTTCTTTCAATATTCTGTAAATAGCATTATTTTCTCCTAAACAAACAGCCATAGTCTTAGTTTGATAATAATCACCCTTAATTTTGATATTCTCTATCACATCCTCAAGAAATATTCCTCTGCCTAAATAAGCTCCTACCTTCTCAGTTTAGCTGATATGAGTAAAATGAATATGCATGTTATAGAAAGTTGGATGATAGTGAAAGAATGCCCTTATTTATGACTTTTTAATAGAATATTTCTCTTCTATCAATGTATATGTAGTGTCTCTTATAGACTCAAGCATCTGGAGGTGTCTCTAATCCAAGTCTCTAACAGTCCTTAAGTTTCTATCATATGGAAAGACCAGTAGGTGCAGCGTGTCTAAATCTTCAGAGTTCATTTTCCAGTCAATCTTTATAGTATAATCATCAGCTCTAAATAATTGAAGATCAAGTTCACTTTTCCCATCTAAAACATTTTCAATCCACTATATTGGTTCAAGTTTATCAATAAATAGAGGTTTCACAAAGTTATTGTACATATCATAAGTCTCATGTATAAGTAAGGTCTCCTACTTCGTATATTTATCAATTTATGACTAAGGGGCAGGAAATGCGAAATCACATTGAATCTTCGATATTTAGGGATTCATCTCTAGGAACATCTTATTATACACATCATTTTAGAAATAGTGATTCTCAGAGAGTATGAGCTGATCAGTGCCTAAACAATCATTTTCCTACTAACCAAGATTCTATAAATCCTTTTCTTCAAATGCTAATTTCTCCATTTTTAGTAAAGCCTTTTTCTAAGGATCCTCTCCTTTCATCGTGCCCAGAAGATAGATTTATTTAGCTTCAACATCATTTGATAAAGTTCTCTCAAATTTGAAATCTCTGAGTGATATCTTTTTGAAATTATCTTCCGTCATATTAAATTAGTTGATATAACTTTTATTGATTGCTTATTAAATTTCAATACTTACAAATAATCATTGATTTAGACTCAAGGGGTTTTGGGGTTTTGGGGTTTTGGGGAGATCGGAAGAGCACACGTCTG